TACTAATGTTAGGTTACCTCTGACAAGCAGGGAAGGGAATGGGATCATGGTGAGTATTCAAGTCTTGTAACATTTGAATGAAGAAGAAAGACCATAGAGGAACTGGCACGTTTGAATTAGGGTGTTGGTGGAGAATATTAACAGTATCATGGACTGCCAAGAATAAACCAATCAATGTTGGAAGAAGTACAGCCAAATTGATTCTTAGAAGCCAGGATGGTCAGGCCTTGTCTCTCATACTTTGGGTATGTTATCAGGAGGGGCCAGTCCCTGGAGAAGGACATTATGCTGGGTAAAGTAGAGGGTCAGTGAAAAAGAGGAAGCCCCCCAATGAGATGGATTAGCACAGTGGCAGCAGCAGTGGGCGCCCACATTGTGAGGTGGGCCAGGACTGGGCAGTGTTTCATTCTGTTGTGTGTAAGGTCACTATGGGTCAGTACTGCTCGACAGCAACTAACAACAACAACATTTTATTAAAAACAAAATCTAAAGAAAGGGAGAAGTGTGGGTCCCAATTTGCCCCTCATTAATCAGTTCGGCAAAAGTTCAAAAGAATTATATCCAGTATTGATATTGATAATTATATCCAGAATTTGGGATATCAGCCAGTCTCACACTGTGGTGGAAATGAAAACTGGGAAAACCTTTAAAGAAGACAACATGTATTTATCAATAAGTATTTATCAAAATGTGACCTATGTATACATTTTGAATCACTAATTCCATTTAAAATCATCCATAATGCTAACTACAAGGTTGGTGGTTCAAACCTACCAGATGCTCCTTGGAAACCCTATACAGGGTCACTATGAGTCAGAACTGACTTGGTGGCACTTCACAACAACAACAGTCTTAGAGGCGGTCGCCCCCTTTTCAACTTCTAGCTCGAAGGCAGGTAACTCTCCATCTAACAAGCTGGAGTTCTTTGAGCTGCCGCTGTTCACCGTGATACATCATTTCCACTTGCTACACTTACCAACATTATACAGTGCTTCCGTACAAGAGGAATCATTTCTCAGAGCCTCCTTATAGAACTCAGCTGCCTTCTCAAAATCACCATTTGCGAAGACAGTATTTCCTTTATTTGTAAGGGCCGACGGATTGTATCTATCAGAGTTCACAGCTAAATCTGCATAGCTACTGGCTTGTGCAACTTCATTTTCCTAAAGAAAGTACAAAATATATATTTTCATTTTAGCAAATTTCATCTTTTCTGACTATTAAGAGATAACAGACATGACAAAACAGACTTTCTAAGATTTACAGACATGAGAAACAGAAACAAAATATTTTCCATTTCTTGATATTCAATTTTTTTAATCATCAAACTCAACCACTCAAGTAAGTTATAATTGACTTCACAGTCTCCCAGTTACAGTAAAACCTGAGGAAGTCAGAACCTGTGTAAGGCAAAAACCTGTTAGACAAGGACACTCAAATGTGTTGTTGTTAGGTGCCATCAAGTTGGTACTGACTCATAGCGACCCTATGCACAACAGAACGAAACACTGCCTGGTCCTGTGCCAACCTCACAATTGTTACTACATTTGAGCCCATTACTGTTGCCACTGTGCCAGTCCATCTAGTTGGGGGAGGGGGGCTCCCTCTTTTTCTCCAACTTTCCACTTTATGTATAATATTAATTATAAATATTACTCAAATATGTCCCACTAAAAATCAGTGATAGAAAACTGGTTAAGAGTGCAATCTGTCAAAGACAGAAAACTTTCCAGTCTCAGAAAACAAAGGCGGTCCCACTGAGTTCAGGCACACTGCACATATATCTAGGCAACTGTCCCAGGTGGTGGCTGTGTGCCGTGGAGTCGGTTCCGACTCATAGCGACCCTGCACAGGGTTTCCGAGGCTGTAAATCTTTACGGGAGCAGAAAGCCTCATCTTTCTCCCGCGGAACAGCTGGTAGTTTTGAACTGCTGACTTTGCGATTTGTAGCCCGATTTGTAACCACTATGCTACCAGAGCTCCTTAGGTGGGCATTTTCATGGAAAGCAAGAACTCTGCATGGGCTGGGATAGGGTGGGTCCCTTCCACTGGCTACAAAGCCTGACCCAATTAGTTCTGCTTATGGCTTTAAATGGCACAAGCCTACCCTCCTATCTGCCTAGACATGGACATCTTGGTGGCTGCACTGGAGGGGACAGCCAGTGGGGCAGCGTCTGCAATGACCCCTGCAGTCTGAGGAGAGCACTGGGTCAGCGAAGTTTCACATAACATCCATTTTTACACAACCCCTGAGTCTTTGGGCCCTAACTCTATTGATAAGTAAGGAGAGGGGGCATTAAATATACAGAATAGGTAAATCCATACAGAGTTCCAGAGGGGGTTAGGGGCGCTGTGAGGAATGGCTGCTAAATGTGTACACCATTGCCTTTTGAGAAATGTTTGGGGACCAGACAGAGGTGATAGTTGCACAACACTGTGAATGTACTAAACACTACTGAATTGTTCATTTTTAAATCGTTAATTTTATGTCAGGTGAATTTTACCTCAATAAAAAAAACCCAAATACATGCCCAATGATCAGTTGTCAAAACCAAGACTTACTAAGTAATACAGGAAGGAAAGGTTGGTTGCAGCTGCGCTCTTCACTCTACTGTCCTTCTTTTCAAACATCTTTAAGGTCTGTACAGCCTAGAAATGGAATACGTGAGTTACTAACATTGACAACACTTAAATGCTTTGAAAAAATTATAAAAACAATCTGCTAAGTTTTTACTTAAGGAACAGTACTATACATGCTGAAGACTCCATCCACTCTGACACATGCTTACACAGGGAAGTAACTGGTAAATTCTTCTAAGTCCTGTTAAATTTGAATAAGATTTTGTAAATATAAAGTCTATACTAACTAGTACAGCCATAGTAAACTTAGGGAGGCAATATGTTATAGTCAAAAGATTAACATCTTCAAGATTCTCATTACCAAGATACAAATTTTATTTTAAATACTGATGATATTTTAGTTACGAATATAGTTGTGGCAAATATAAGGGGCTGCCAAAAGTTCAAGGAAAAATCTCATTAACTTTTTTTATTTTTATTTTGGATTGAGTGAAAGTTTACAGGGTACACCATCAGCTTCACATTCAACCATTCATATAGCTTGTTTCATTACATTGATTATTATCCCCTCCATATATCACCAGTTAACGGTGTTTCTCTCTATCCTCTTTAGCTTTTTTTTTTTTTGTGTGTGGTGGGGGGGACTTGCCTTTTTGGAATTTACAGTCTCGGCTTTT